ATTAAGGTTGTTTTCCAAGGCCTCAAAGTTGCTACCTCAAAACTGGAAAACTGCCAGAAAATGGTTCAGTCTGGAAACTGTTTTGTGAAGCCTACTTTGGAGCTTAATTCGAGGAGTATGGATCTTATTCAAGTCCAAAGGCTTCCACAACATGAAACTAGGTATGTTTGTGAACAAAGGGAATGAATTGGATGAAGAATTGGAGTTTGGGAAGGCCTCGAACGAAAGGTGCGAAGTTAGTACGAAGTCACAAAATTCTGCCTTTGTAAAAACAGAATTGTTTTCCTTATTCGATTAGGATTAGGTCCTTTTTGCTACTTTTTAGTTCTTATTCGTATTAGATTGTAATTATGAGTTGCTTGTACGAAAGTTAACCCTAGTTAGGCCTATTTAAACTCGTCTTTTGCATTGTAATCGTCAGACTTTGATTAATCGAAAAACAAACCCTTTGGTTTTGTGCAAGTTGCGACTTGTTTGAGTTTGGTGGATTCCAAGCTTGTGAGCTTTGTATCGATTGAATATCCTCTTCAATCGTGGTCGAGCAGCTACCCTTTTATACCATACGAGCATTCCCCAGGTGTGGAATTGTCCGTTGGTTCCGTTTTATCCCAATTTCGTATTAAGAGCGCTTCGTTCTTGATTCGAGTTCAATCAATCTTTGGATTGATTGTTTTCTGCGTTACTTTGATAAAAATACACCCCCAGGGGTGTATCAAGTCTACAAGAGCACTTCTATTGGCCGCACATGAAGGGAGACGTGGAGAATCTGTGTGCGAGGTGTGTGGAGTGCAAGCAGGCCAAGTTGAAGGTGCAATCATCTAGATTGTACACACCACTGCCGATTCCATATGCTCCATGGATCGACATCTCTATGGATTTTGTGCTTGGTTTGCCACGGACACGGAAGGGAAGAGATTCGATTTTTGTGGTGGTGGATCAATTCTCGAAGATTGCACACTTTATCCCGTGTCATAAGACGGATGATGCTATTAACGTGGCTGATTGTTTTTCAGGGAAGTGGTGCGATTACATGGGATGCCGTGTTCCATAGTATCCGATCGAGATACTAAGTTTCTGAGTTCCTTTTGGAAGACGTTGTGGAGCAAACTGGGAACAAAGTTGTTGTTCTCTACCACATGTCATCCTCAAACCGATGGGCAAACAGAGGTTGTCAATCGAACTCTGTCCCAGCTGTTGTGAGCTGTGATTAGGAGCAACATCAAGGTTTGGGAGGACTCCCTTCCCCACGTGGAGTTTGCTTACAACAGGATGGTGCACTCGTCGACGAAGTTCACTCCGTTTGAGCTCGTGTATGGTTTCAATCCACTCACTCCTTTGGATTTGATGTCATTACCTTTGAATGAGCAGGTCAATCTCGATGGAGCCAAGAAAGCTAAGTTTGTGAAGAGTTTACATGAGAATGCGAGATTGAACATTGAGAGAAGGACGGAGCAGATCATGCGCAATGTGAACAAAAACAGGAAACCAAGGCACTTTGAAGTTGGCGACTGGGTGTGGGTGCATTTGAGGAAGGAAAGGTTTCCCCAGCAGAGGAAATCAAAGTTGATGCCCCGATGTGATGGTCCTTTCCAGGTGGTTTCGAAGATTGGAAGCAACGCCTACAAGATCGACTTGTCGGGAGAGTATGGAGTAAGTGCAACGTTTAATGTTTTTGACCTTGCACCTTATTTGGATGGCAATTCGGATTTGAGGGCAAATCCTTTTGAAGAAGGAGGGGCTGATGAGGACATCAATGGGCCAGTCACACGTGCTAAGGCAAGGACGTTGAAGAAGAAGCTTGCGACATATTTGGAGAACTGCTTTGGAGCCATGGACGTAGAGCTATTTCGAGGGAAGCCATATATGATGATTCGAGTGGAGGAAGAAGGAGGAAGTGCTGAAGAGAAGGCAGATTGCAAGAAGCAGCCTTAACGAGTTTGTTTAACGGGTCCAGCCTTAACGGGTTTACTTAACGGGTCCAGGCTTAACGGTTAGGGCTTAACGGGTTTGGGCTTAACGGTTTGAGCTTAACGGGTTTGATGGGCTATTTCCGAGTTTTCATGTTTTAAAGTCGGTTTATGATTTTTTTTCCATGTTAGAGTCGGATTTGTGTTGTACTTTGCCTATTTAAAGGGCTGAACACGTTGGTTTGCCTTTAGACGATTATTATTGAATTTCAGAGGCTAAAGTTGAATTCCCTGAGCGGAATTTGCCCTAATTACTCTGTCGAGAATCTCCAGAGTGCTAGAGCGACTCTTATCGGCTAGGTATTCACCCTAGTTGTGGCGAGCTACCCATATCGATTGACCTTTATTCCAAGTTGAATCTGTCCGATCGATTCATATATCGATTGCCCTTATTCACGGGTGAGTATTGTCCGATCAATTTCCATCCTATCCGGTTCTGTTTGGTTCGAGAAGCTTGACCCTGTGCAACTTTGATTATATCACATTAAATTCGAGGACTAATAAATAGTTTAAATTGATAAACAGTTTAATGCGTCTTTCTGCATTATATTCAAAGGGGCTGATGAAGTATCATCTTAGATCATCACATACATTTGGCAGTTGTTCAAGTTGTTGAAATCTATTGCATCTTCTTGCATTAGATTTGAAGGGCTGATAAACAGTTTAAGCATAAAAATGATGTGTTTTCTTGGATCAGCACATACATTTGGTAGCTGAAATTTGCATTCCAAATGAAACATGGATGTATTATAGTCACTCTACACTTACTGATTTCGTTTTTCTGGTCGATCCCCACGTGCGTTTTAGACCGTGATGTCTGATTGGGGTCTTGTACGTAGGAATGCCACTGTCTAGCTAAACTTGTTTGTAGAACGACAATCAACTAAGGTACATTCAGCTCCTGGAGGTGCATCTTCTTTGGGCGGAGTATCGTCTTGGTGATGCCGTGTAATGAGACATAAATGTCGTGAAGTTATATTTTTCTCGAGTCCTTGAATGAATGATGCCAATGTGGATACCCTTTTGTTGCACTACTGTCTCTGAGGGAGGGGTTATGGTGGATACCAAGTTTTAGTATCCACGGTGGTTACTAGGGATAATAGGGGTATTTTGCATCCTAGTTATTATCAATACCATTTTAATAATGCAATTAATTAGAGAGAGGAGAGATAATTATCAAAATTAAATATATGGAGTTTTAATCACAGTAGGAGTTTGTTATATCAAAAATTACGACAGGAAAAGAATTCTGCAGTGGGCACACTGCCCTAGGGGGAAATGGCAATGGTAGTTGAGGATTAGAGAGCCCATTAGAGCTAAATCCTCAACTATTACTCAACTTTTTGGTTTTTCTTCCTCAGCTATCTAATCCTCAACTAATAAATCAATGGGCTACCCTAAGAATTCTGCAGTGGGCACGCTGCCCTAGGTTTTTCTTCCTCAGCAAGGAGCTAAATCAGTTGCTATGGTAGTGATTAGTAATTGCAATGGTAGTTATCAGATACTGTAACGGTAGTGTTTCGTTTCTGGTAATATGACCTACTGCAATGGTAGTTATTCATTGTTTCTTGCTCTTTGAAGCCCCACGATTTGGGTTCTTGGTTCTTGCCATTACTAAAACCAAAAAATGGAAGGTAGCAACATTAACCAATGTTAGTGATGTATGGAAAGGTAATCACTACTACTACTGGAACTGAACACTACCATTCCACACCAAACATCACAGGTATGCAGGTCACTACCAATGAGAGAAAAAAAACCTACCATTCCAACTAAACACTATCATTCCACACCAAACATCACAATTCTGCAGATCACTACCAATTCATGAAAAGAAGCTACCATTCCAAACAACATGAAATCTACCATTCCAACTAAAAACTTCAATTCCACACCAAACATTACAGGTCTGCAGATTACTACCAATGCATGGGAAGAACCTACCATTCCAAACAACCTAGAACCTAGATCATCCCCGACTTCGACGAGAACGTCCGTAGGGATATCCTGAGAGAAGATCCATTGGCCGGTTCTCTCCATTGCAAAGGAAGTCCTGGTGGGGAATCCATTGTTGCTGCTCCTCAGTTGGGGTTGGGGATCCATTGGCCGGGAGAGAAGAATTGGGTCCAAAGCGGGAAGTACATACTACGGAAGGATTGGCAGCCGGATTTGATGGCGTCGGAGAGTCGGGAAGCGAGGGAAGGCGGGGAGTGCGTGACGTCGAGGCGAGGCGGAGGGAGCCGCTGTGAGGTGGGACGGGATCGGGGGTTATGACGTGGAAGTGGTCGGAGGTGTGGGTGGAGGAGAAGAAGGAAGAGAGGATGGCCTCGGAGTCGGCCGGGAAGGCAGAGCCGACGTGGCGGAGGTTGATCGAGAGTGGGAGCGACAGGGAGAGGAGGGAGGAGACGACGGCTAGGTATTAGGGTTTGAGTAAAATATATACAGTAATCAGGTGTGGTATGTTTTTCATTTCCTAAATTACCCTTAGCTAATCTTAACCATTATTTAAAATTATAATAAAATAAAGATAATGAATGGTATAGATGTTGGTAGCCACCGTAATTACTCAAAATTGAGTAACCACCCTAACCTATTCCCTATCTCTGAATATTTAGAAGTTGAAAACTTAGAGGCTGCTGTGATTTGAATGAGAAAATCGAATTTACCATCCTCAAGGCTCTTTATTTTCATCTTCAACTTCTATGGTGGACTGGTGAAGATGAACACTGAACACCTATATAATCTGCCATGATAAAGAGAATTCACGTCCTTTAAAATGGTTAATAGTCTGCACTTACTGATGACAAAAAAAAATCTAAATTTAGTAATTTACTGCTAAGCCACATTAATTACCACATGAAATTGTGCACTTGGCTTGTAATATCCATATACATAGAGATTAGTCGATTACTTTAGGGCCCTTTACAAAAATTGCCAGAATCTTCCTCAGAAAATTAGGCATCACCTAAAGGAAACAACATCTACACATAAACTACTAATCACCCTCTCCTCTGCCCAACTTATAACACACATTTATCTGAAAAGCATCTTGAGTTCCTCAATTCTGGCCGACCGGACATCATCGTCGGTGAGAGCTCCGGCAATCATCTTCTCCTTCTTAGCATGAACTTGCAGCATCCGTTCCTCCACCGTGCCCTGTTACATGGATTTGGTTAGCATAAAAACTTTTAACTTTCATCCACAAATAGGAAGGCCTACACCACCACAAGAACATAATATAATAGAGAAAGCTGTCAGTTGTCCTGAAAATGAACTGAAAGGACAACACACCCTCCAAATCAGGGTCGATGAAACCGTACCGTACCGGCGATTCAACCACAAAATACTAATATCGGAGGTTAAATCGGTAGGCGATATTTAACGGTCCAACGGTTGAACTATGATTAAACCACGGTTCTATCATAAAATTTACTTTTCCGGTACAATTTCATAGACCATACTCCAAATCCAAATTACAGGTAAGCTCTCATTCTCAAATTGGGTACCTAATATTTTTTGCCTTTTGGTCAATACCTAACTATAGATGACAAGAGGACTGTTAAAAGTGGTCCAACCCCCTCGAACGAATAGTTCTTTTTTGGGGCGAGCTTGTCCTAATAATTTGAAAAGTAAGAGCTGAAAGGGAATGATTGAGAATATACTTCACCTTGACAATGAATCTTCTAACTCTCACGGTTCTCTTTTGTCCTATCCTGTGAATTCTCATGATTGCCTGTTCTTCAACTGCAGGATTCCACCATGGATCCTACAAAATAAGAAATTTGTCAGCCATGAAAGGTTTTGAGGACAGCTTTAACTGAGTCTGAAATGGGAAGACCTTGTGGAAGTTATTGAGAACTGTACCATTATAAACACATTTGAAGCAGCAGTTAGATTCAGCCCCACCCCACCAGTTCTCAGAGACATCAGTAGCACCTGAAAATGTTAGGAAAAGAAACCAAATTAGATTCTTCTAAAGATCCATTGAGAAGGACCACCCACAAGCCATTAACCAAGGTGGTTTTAGCAGTTGCTTGCTTACCCTTTTCACATTGCTCTCATTGAACTCCTTCAAAACTCTCTCCCTGTGCTTCTGAGACAATCTCCCATCAAACCTCAAGAACTGAACCCCCTTCTCCTTCAGTGGAATTTCCAAGAGGTCCAAGAAAGAAGTCCACTGGCTAAAGATGATACTCTTCTCCCAGAATAAGCATCAATTCTGTCCAAGCAATCCAGGAGCTTAGTGATCTTGGACGAACCTTTCCAGTTCTTGTGAATATCGATCTTGAACTTGGTCCCCGATGGACATGCTCGTAGCTCGTATTCGCTCACTAAAGTTCGACACAGTGGGCAAGGCCCTTCTGTATGTGTTTTCCAGCTGGTGAGGAGACATTCTCTGCACATTCTATGCTTGCATGGAGTGAAAACTGGGTCATCTGCTGACTCCAAGCAGATGGGGCATTCGGTGTCTTTTCGCATTCCTTCTACAGCTTCTTCACTGTTGGCTTGAGTTGCAGCGGTTGCCTCAGTGGAGGAGGCAGAATCATCATTTGTGTCAAAGAACCGTTTGGCGAGCTTGTTCAAGTCCCAGTACTTCTGTAAATCAGCTCGACTGCAAAAAAATGGGAAGAAATACGGGAATCAGGAGATTTCCTTTAAGTTATGATGAACGAACAAATGACTGGTTTCTAAAGGTGATTTCTTGGGTTACCTCATGACAAGAAAAGGATGGTTGCAACACTGCCTCAAACGAAGTAGTAGCTCAAGGACTGAGGCATACTTCTGAAGAACTTGGCCTTCTGCCACTAAGCTATCGAATTGGTCCTGTACCGGTAGAATTTATTGCTCATCTAAGTCACGAACAAGCTCCATTATTTGAAACTACGATATTTTTGTATGAACAGTTGCAATATACTTACTTTTGATCTCCTGAAAAGGGCTTCATATAGGTCGCGTTCAGCTTCTGATTGCTCACATGTAAGCACTTGAATATCAGTTGGTGGAAGAACAAGAATCGGCCTGTAATAAAATGTACAAAACTTGCAAATTTCAGTAGTCTGAGATCTTGGCAAGAAAGCAAAAGTAAAGCCTAAGAAGAAAGTCGTGCATTAATGGAAACAGTCACCTTCCGTAATTGTCCTTGGTTTCCTTGGTTCTCCTCAGCATCAGTGGCCTCAGGATGGCTTTAATCAGTTTAAGGGCTCTAGGATCTCCATTCTCATAAGGTTTATGGATCAATTTGTTCCACCTACACAAATCCCATATTTAGTAATAAAGTCGATTTAAGTATCACGAACTAATAATCAATTAGGAATAAGATGATCATACCATGACCAGTTGGACCAAGGTTGAACGTGCAAGAAGCATAGAAGACTATAAATATCTTCCAAGTTGTTCTACAGCAAATCAATGATATCACGTATCTTAGTTTGTAGAAATCAGATACAAGAACAAAGATTACATGGCAATGAGTGCATATCAATTAAGTAATATGAAAAAAGGTACCCTATATACCTGAAGAGGTGTCCCTGTGAGACACCAGCGGTATTGCGACGATAACTGGAAGGAAGCTTGAGCACCTTGTGATTTTGGGGACTTAATGGCGTGAGCCTCATCCAACACAACCCGAAACCACTCTACCTTATGAAAAATACTCGCCTCCAAACCCTGACTTGCAGTAAATCATGTGTCAGAAATCCGCAGATCCTGAGCAAAATTATCAGATTTTGGTAAGGATGGTGCTTACTTGTTTATAAGCTGCCGTTAGGACACCATAAGTTGTCAATATCACATCATATCCAGAAATGAAACTTGGATCATTCATTCTCTCACCGCCGTAATGAACAAACACAGACATACTTCCCGGCTTTGCATGTGTCTCGAGCTCATCCTGACCCAAGTCATAAGAAGCAAAAATGATAAAGGAGGCAGAACTATTGAGCACCAAAGCACCGTACAAATAATAAGAGTCCCAAATGGGGTTCAAAATAGCAGCGAATAACTTACTTTCCACTGGTGAAGCAATGCCATGGGACAAATAATAAGAGTCCCACCACGAGGCCTATGGAGTCTGCTCCCTCCATCCTGCAAAACGATACTTCCTCTGCCTGGTTTTGCAAGTAATAGAGCAATCGTCATTACAGTCTTTCCAAGACCCATTGCATCTGCCAAAATCTTCACAAGCAGGAAAAATAACATACAAGTTTAGATGATAAACAATCAAACCATGGAAAAAAGCTACAAGTTTTAAGACATGTGGAAATGTGCAACACTATAACTAACCCCTCCTCTTGTTATCTGAGTTGCAGCTGGAAACTGAAAGGTGGCTTCTCCAGAGAAAATATTAACGTAAATAGAGGCTGCCCTTCTGCAGAAAAACACATGATTGTTTAGAAATCACAGCTCCATAACAGCTTTTAAGAAGGAAACAGACAGAAGATGCACTACTTACTCGTCACATATACTATATGCAGCCCAGCATGGATGTAGCAGTTTGGATGCTCTCTCATCGTCCATCCCCTCTTCTGATTCACACATCCATCGAAGAGCCTGTTTCTGGTATGGCTTTAAATGGCAGGTTAAAGTGTGTGGCGCCTCCATTTCCTACAAAATTAACAAATGGTATCAGAAACCACACAAACATTTCTCTCTTAGTTCAGAGAACCAAACAGCGCCAAAAGCTAGAGCAACATCATACCATTAGGTCATAAACTTCAGCAGTACCAACAATCTTGTTCAAGGTCGACTCAGAAAAGGCTTGTTCATCCTTGTCTTGTTCAGGAATTTGAACTCCTGCGCCTTTTCTCTTCTTAACAAGGTGTAACGCTTCAACTGAATCGTCTGCCTGTTTTCACCCAGAACCATACTTCAATCCCTCCATAACTACACTACAGAGTCGTTCTAGCTATGAATCTACAACACACATTAGTGGTAGAATGAATTACCTCAAGCTTCAAACCACGTTTTCTTGAGTGAAGCTCCGATGGAGTGAACTCAGCCTGATTAGACCACATGGGGGAAAAGGGCCACCACAAAGGTTAGGTGCGTCTGCAAAATTCAGTCACAAGTTCATGAACCCCCCACCAGAAGCACAATAGAGTTACCTTTTGGTATGGTTTAAGTTCCAGCAGTTTAAACAGGCTAAGGAGAGGGTAAACTGAAGGATCGATGTATGTGTTTGATTCCAGCGTCCAGGTCGAGCTCTCCAACGCTATGAATATTGATCGGTGAACATAGAAGCTGCAAATCAACAAAATAACAGCTTGAGTAAGACCAAATAGTAGGGGATATAGCCATGAAACCAAACAAGTCTCGAAGAACTCTTTGAGACCATTTTTTTTATACCTCACATATAAGTAAACCTCCTGCATCATATGAAGAGTAGGCGGGGCGGCCACGCATCTTCCGAGAGCTTTAACCTTGTTGGAGCTCACAAGCGGAACGACACATTTCCCCCATTCCATTGGAAGCCGACCAACCTGTCATTTTACCCTAACATTTATCAGCAAAACCCCCCCAACAATGGGCGGAAAAGTACTAACACAGTGTATGTAAATTGATTGAAATTTGAAACCCACCTCCCCAGATCTTTTGGTTGAGAAGCGGACGATCCATTGAGCATTGTATTTAGAACTCGACTTGGAGTAGTTGAAGTAGACGATCTCGTTGTCAGCCAATTTCCTGCCTTTCGAGGTGGAAACCGCGGTCACCATCGTTCTACCCACCAGATAGTAACCCTGCTGTTCAGGGAACTCCCCGTCTTCCACCACGCGGCCGTCGATGATCCTCTGCGCCGGCTTTTCCGGGACCTTCGGTGCGCTCCGTTTCTTCTTATCGCCACTATCGGACGTCTCCTTAATCACTATCACCTCCGACTCCACGGGGTTTGTTTTCTCCTTCGCCGATGGCGCCGTATCTGCCGGTCGAGCTGCTTCGTCTTTCGCCACCGTCTCCTCTGTCTCCATATGCACAGGCTCCTCTGCTTTTGTCGCCGTCTCTGCCTCAACAGGCTTCTCTTCCACCGTCGCCGGCATTTCAGCCGCTGGCTCTTCTTTTACCGACACCATCTCTGTTTCGATAGGCTCGTCTTTCACAGTCCGCATACCTCCGGCCGAAATCTCAGCCGCTTCCATCTCTGTTGATTCCATTTTTACATCACGATGCTGCTCCGCCGGGACCACGGTTAAAGGAACCGCTGCAATCGCGGTAGGTAAAGGTTTCTCATCGGATTCTTCCCGTTGCTCTTCCTTCACGGCAACGATTGGATCGGCGGAATCAAAAGGCTTTCCATCCGCCGCTTCACTCTCCGCCTTCTGATTGGGCTCTTTGGGTTTATCTTCTTCCTTGAGCTGCGCGTGGATTTGGACTCTGCTGCCGACAGCAGTTCGCCGGACGTCGACGAAATTATCGACGGTGTCATGTGCGACTCCGTCGTCTTTGTAGCTGGAATGCTCTTGGGCTTCCTCGAGGCGGGAGTCTTCGTCCGGTGCGATTGAAAACTCCATTTTCACGGCTATCAGGGCAACGGGGCGAGCTGGTGAGCTCTGTAATTTGGGGTAGATGCACTGACAGGGGAAATGGAGAAGAGAGATTGAGAAGTGGAAGAGGAAATTTGAGTGGGAGGGTTTTCATTTGGGGTTTAGGGTTTTGTAGCTTGCGAAATCCGGCGCGAAAATTTGTTTTCGGGGGGTGAAAGTTGGCGCGCTCTTGCGGTTATTTGGCTCCACTTTCCCAATCTTTAGCGCGGAGATGATTTTTTAGTTTTTACTTTCACCTTTTGAAGCGGGAAGGAAAGGCGCGGTGGGATTGAATTTACTGGTTTTCGCTGGCTGGCCTTGTCTCGAGTTTGCTTATATTGGGCCCGTGTTATGGGCCCAACTCCGATTGGCGAACAATGCTTGTTGATGGTGAGATGAGAATGGGATGACAATTTGAAGTTTGAACCATCCTGTTGGGTGTTGTCGATCTAATCCGTGTTGGCATGGATTTACTCGACTCGCGCTAGGACCGGATGGATTCTGATTGGATCTTTACAAGGGCATAGTATCATATACACCCGATCTTGTCATGAGGTCGATCTAGAGTAGGGTACATAATTCGTGTTTATGCATTTGTGCTAATTTTCGTCCTTTTGATTTTGAATGAGGTCAGATTTAAGGGTGGAATTTTTTAGTTTTGTTTTCTCTACCTTATAATTTAATTTTATCTTTTTTATCAATTTTTGAAATGTGTTGGATTGCAAATTTGCATATAACAAATTTATTGCGATCTACAAACTGATTTAAGTTTATCATTCATTTCAACAAAAAAAAATATTTTGCCGTCCTCATTAGTCATTACCACTATGTATCACCTTTGTTTTTAACTTTGGATTTAACATTTTTTGCATAGGTGGCACATGGCCAGCCAAACGGACCCCTCTAGGCCGCAGGTCCACCCAATTCCATTAACCTTTATTGGGCGATTTTGATGGGGTTTGTTTAATAATTTATGCAAATAGATGGATATAGTGACGAAAATACAATCACATTCCAACGACATAAAACTGTCATATTTTAAAGGACGCATTTTTCTCATTTATTCAGCCACTCTTCATGATTTTTCTGCACTAATTCTCACAACTTAAATCAAATTATCTCAATTTCATCTATTTATCGTCTCCGAAAACGAAAAAATCTTTGAGCAAGAAAGGAACTAATTGACGAGTGGATAACGAAGAAATTTGTGCAAACTTGAGTGTGGAAGGGTGACGTTTGAACATCAAAGATGTGAACCTGTAAACAACTTGTACTTCATATTCAATGGAATAATGAATTACCAGCACCCAAGTGTAATTTTTGGAAGGGAGTTGTGCAAAGGACAAAGAGGAGTTGATCAAGTTGCAAGAACCAAGTTTATATGCTATTATATTTTGAAAACCTTATTTTGTTTTGTTATTTTTATGTATGTTTAATTTTCTGACTCAGTATTCATAATTTTAAAAGAATGTTGCGGCAAGATCAATATATCGACAAGAGAATAGGAACAAAGCTTTTATTTATGAGCATTGTTGGGTCATTCCTCAAAATTGGCCAAAATGATATTGTGATCTTGAAATAGTTGTCAATCTCATTCTACCTATAGGTTGAGGTTCCCAAAGTTCTCTCATGAGTGTTGGTTCTCAATCCTCTCCCATTGAAAGCCAAGATGACATACCAGACGAAGGAACTACATCTTTTGTGATAGTGCCTTCTAAAGGGTAAATTGCAAGATTGGTCATTGAAAATACTAAAACATTCATGTTTGGTCATTAAAAGTATTTTATTCCATTTATGATCATTAAAAGTAGTTTTTCTGTTCAACTTTGGTCACTCCATTAGTCTCCGTTAAGTTTAGCTTATGTGGCGGTCAACTTTGATAGTTGACTGTTAAATAAATGACGTGGCACTTAACAAAAAAATTCAACATTTACAATTTCCACCTCATTTTCATAAATATCTACAAATACAAAATTTCTTTCTCCACCACCTCCGCACTCTTCTTCAACATCCCATACGGAGGTTGAGGCGTCGTCGTCCAGACCATCCCCGTGTCAGGCATCATCCCGACCTCATATGGGAATGCGTTCAAATCCTCGCTGGAGGACTCGGTGCTCCCTGTGGCGGCACTGCCTCCTCCTCCCCTCCCTCCGCCGCCGCCGCCAAACGCCACGTTCATGGCTACACCGCATGAGGGCTAAGGTACTGGTGGTGGGACCTGTGGATGTGGTGGTGATGCAGAGAAGGAAATAATGGAGGTGGAGGCAGCAGGAGCGCGTGGACCAGATGGCCTCCTCCACCTCCGCCACGCCGAGACCCGGGGATAGACTCGTCGTACCCATCGTAGACGTTTCCCCCTACGATGGCCGCTTGGTTGCAGAATGCAGAGACACTCCTGGTACCTAACCACTGTCGCCGACGCCCAGTGGCGGATCCAGGAATTTTTTATAGGAGTGTCCTCTTCCAAAAATTAAATTTAATTAAAATTAAATTAAATAATTCATAAATAAAAAAAATATTCGACTAGTGCAAACATATCATATTAGACAATTATTCACGAAATAATCGCATATTCGATTTTTAACCTTGTTCCTGATGTAACTCAAATTTGAAAGACTCTTTCAACTCTTGCAATATACCTATAAATTCAATTCAAATTAAGGATAGCTCGAATGAATTTAATTGTTAGGTTTTGAAAACAATTGGGAATAAAGAATAGTGTTTTTACTATTACATAGTGTTTAAAATCGAACAACAAATGAGTTGCAACCTAGAGAATATGTTTAATAATAATAGTGTCCTATGTTTGAATAACACAGAGATTACTACTTATATATTTTTAATCATACGCAAACTACTATCGAGAACGTGATAATCATTTTTTTCAAAATTTAAGTGTGTTCTGGATTCCCAATTATAAATTTTAGGGGTGTCCCGGGACACCCTTAGAAGGCCATGTATCCGCCACTGCCGACGCCGAGTTAGCTTTAATGGTGGTGGAGTTGTTAGATCCGCCGCCACTATTGTCGCGGTGGTGGTGATCTAGGGTATGGGAGTAGCCGAGAAATGTCGAGTTGCCATTGTGATTCCCGTCACCTCTTCTTCCTCCACCTCCGCTTGACATTCTCACATCATTGTTCTCCACTTGCCCTCTCACTTCCATGACCATTGGTCCCCTCAATTAAAAAAAACCCAAACAACTAAGGAAGAAGCACCTCTTGACCTTTTCGTATGACCTGAACTTTAACCAAAATAAATATCCTGGCCAATCTTTTCGATCTATAACATCCTGGCCCGAACTATACACCAAAATAAACAATTTGGCCAAACTCGATGTTTGACCGTTAACTTGGACGGTCAAACGCATTGACTAACGGTCAACGCGCCATGTCACTGCCAAGTCAGAAGATCTGATAAATATTTAATTTTTTTGTTTTTTTATTTTTGGTTTAACTAAGGTATTAGATGATTTTTTTAATTTATAATAATTTAAAATTAGGGAATGTGTGGAAATTTTCAATTATTTTAAATATTTTATAACTAACGGTCAAAAGTCGGATATGGCCAAATTGTTTATTTTGGTGTATAGTTCGGGCCAGGATGTTATAGATCGAAAAGATTGGCCAAGATGTTTATTTTGGTCAAAGTTCAGGCCATACGAAAATATTAACCCTAAATAAAATGGGGTGGAAATTGTAAAAATAATAATTTTTTATTTTTTAATTGTCACGTCACTTATTTAACGGTCAACTATCTAAATTGACCGCCACATCAGCTAAACTTAACGGAGGCTAACGGAGAGTGACCAAACTTGAACAAAAGACTACTTTTAGTGACCATGAATAGAATAAAATACTTTTAGTGACCAAATGCGAATTTTTTTAGTACTTCCAGTTACCAACCTTGCAATTTAGTCGCCTTCTAAATATGCCAAAATTAGATATTGGGTTTGAATTGAGTAATCCCCCATAAGACATTGATTACAAATAAGTTTGATTTTTTTGAAAGAAATTAACAAGGTTAGAGTATAGAGGTATTTGGGAAGCAAAAATGGACACTTGAGAGCTTGACAGGCTAAATTTAGCTGTTTGGGTTGTAGTTAGTCTAACTATTGGGTATTCATAAAAAGAATCCTTGAACATTGACTTCAATGTGTCACCAATTTGATCTTCTTTTCATTTTGACGGCCAACTCACACACATTAAGTGGCTACACATTCTCGTCATAAACACTCTTTTCTAAAGGAATCACAACAAGCTCATCAACCGGAACACACCCCACGCTGCAGTTGATTCACCAGCCAGCAGCAACAGACCACCGAATGTTATTCAAGGTCGTAAACCTCGTGGTAGCGGAGCTCATCTGCCTCCCCATTCCCACAATAGTCGCAATCCAAGGTCAGGCCGCAGCACTCAACCACAAGTACGAGCTAATGAGTGATAACGGGACGTTGTTGAGAAGGGAAGGTGAAAGGAAAGGAAGCAATGGAGACGATGATGTAGCGCACGGTGTGTGGGGGTAATGAAGAGAGGTTCGGAGTAGTAGTGGTGAAGCTAGCTGAACTGAGTTAGAGTGTCGAGGAGATGGGTCGGAGAGCTCCCTAATTAGATATCCGGAAGGTGTTGTCCTGAACGTTGCACGGTTGTGGCAGCTGCTAGAACCAGCTTCCTGCTGCTAAACTGCAAGAAAAAGCAGCATTGTAAGAATCGAAGTGGGGAGAAATGAAAAGATGTAGCTGAGGAATCAAATATTACCTAGGAGTTTACCCTCTCTCTTTAAGAGCCGGTTTGAGACCTGTGTGGACTATAAGGTAACATGAACAGATACAACAACCGATATTTGCGGGTTCACTGGTCACGGGACGAAAATATAATGCCACACTAGCTTGTGTATAAGTTAAATAAGTTTACACCAGAAATTGTATGCTTCAGGAGTTTATATAGCTCATGGCTTGGGCTTGGAGATAGTAAGAGTCCCTGTATTTTCTGTTGCTATTTATGTGAATGCCGCTTCGGACCCAGTCCTCTCTGTGAATCCAAGCATCACGACCAAAGTCGAGGATTCCAAGGATCTGGCATCATCAAGACATCAGCGTTTGTAAGAACTCAACTAAGTGTTAACTGATTCCTCAAAGTTGGGAGCATCACAGTGGGTTCAAGAAAATAACTACTGTAAGTGCATTTAGGGAGGTAGTAATTGCTTGACGTACCGCTCCACCTTTCCATGGCACGTCTGTGGTTCTTGTTCTTGATTGCAGGACCTATTTAACAGGGATTTCAAGAAGGGTAAATATCAGAACAAAACAGCATATTGATAGAAGGTAATGCATGCATTAGTTCTTCTAGTCACAAGCATACAATATACCAGCAATGTCAGGTATCTAATCAAGTAGCCACTTCTTATTTTAGACAAGGCATAATCACGACTCCCTAACTAATTCATCAACTGAAGATCAATTTATTTTATGCAAGAACCCTTTAGAATCTGGTTAAATTACAGTTGAGTGCAAGACTGACAAAAGAACTTCAGGTACTGGTCGCTGTTGACAATACATTACACACCCATCCAAACAGGCAAAACATATAATCACGGACAAAATGGACCACAGCAAACAGGAGAAAAATGGGAATTTTCAGATTCACCTCTACGGTATCAATCGCCTCATTCGGGGGAATTGCATGCAGAACCCTGTGACAAGAGAAGTGTGAGGTTGTTGAACGAAAAAATATTCACAGTTATCCAATGTCTTTCTTGAATGAGTTAAAAGTAGTTAATCACATAGTCAACACTGGCTCAAGAACGAACAACAAAGTACCAATAATCAGCAAATCTTTCTTGTATGTTATGGACTAATGGTCAACAACATTGCATCTTTCCAATTTCATTTCGTTGAAACTTATTACCTGCTGTACAGTAACAGCAGCGGAGAAAAGACAAACTAGGATGGAAGCGATCTCTTGGAGTTCCAACTAAGCACCATCGGCACAAGTTAATACTTGTCTATAAAGTCCAGTGTGTACTTCTTTTACCATCAGTTCACAAGCTGAAGCGTTTAAACTAGAAGTGTTGTTCTCCTAGCTCTGGAAACAGTTTTCCCCCAAATATAATGTCAATATACCCAAGAAATTGGTGTCCTTTCATAGAAGTTTCCTTTGGTATGATGAATCATTCTACCGTATCAGTGGTTTAAGCATCATTCAATAAGATAGGAATTGGAATTATGTACTTGGTTTGCCCATCCAAAACTATCAACCGACCTTTCTTCCACAGCGGGAATGAGACCAGCCGTCAAGGCCACTCCACCAATCTAGAACACAAACCAAATAGTCACTTTCTATCTCCACAGGGTATAAGTCACAAGCAACCATTCTTGGCCCAGAAAACCATACCAATTGAATGCTGCAGAACAGCTTCCTTTGAAGCTCAATGCGGCCTGTCATTATATCATTGAGCATGTCTGAGTGTCAAACAACATTACAATCTAAAAGAATGAATGCATATACAAGCATAAAAAAACATAAGCATGGTAACAAATGAACAGCCCCTATTTGGGTCTTACCACTTGAGAGAATGCTACTGGTGATTGCTTCTGCAAGGCCAACTTTTTCTTCCTTTTTTGGCTTTGAAGAAAATATCGGGTAGTTGTCCCACATGGATAATCCAACATTCATCCCAGGATACATTCCTTCAACTAAATCGGGCCTCCTAGGGTATTCTATATGATATGTTTCTTCCAGCATGTCATCATAGTCATTAAACCTGATGATATGGAATTGTAAATCATCAAGGGTACTGCCAAAATGAACCAGATAGTAGGATTATAATAGAAACACAAGGAAAAACCAAGAGAAGTCCTCACCAAGAACGAGGTGGAGGAGGATACACATCTGGAACCAAAAGCGCTGGGTAGAAGAGTCCCATTGGAGGTACCTTATTAAGAGAACAAACAGGCAGTAGACACATTCATTACATCAGGTATTCTTCATATTCAGAACCACAGTATGCCAGTCTAACGAAGACTTACACTAAGAGCGGTTAACCTAGTCTTATGAGATCCAGGTGGCTGGCCCTCTTCATAGGAATGAACTATGGAAACAGCATCAAGCTCCCCTTCCTGTTACATGGAAATGTTGATTACAAGTAGAACGAACATTTCATAGGTACACTAGTATCAGTTCCATCTGCAGTAATTCAGTCTATCAGGTTAATGTGTTTAAAATAAAGGCCATCCATTTTCACCAAGCACAACATTTTATAGGAAGGAAAAGGATCGCTGATCAAGAAGTCACAATGCTATTTGGCTATTATATTCAGGTTCCAAGGAATGAACAGAAGAAACCTCCTGCGCTCAAATTATAATTAAAAAAAAAAGCCGTAAATTGTATGAGCAGAACATATATACAAACATCTGACCATCAAGAACCATCAAACTCATTTTAATCTCGAGAAGACTGAATAGCCTGCTAGAGGAACAGAGACACCAAAGACAGGAAAATCTAGACTCACCTTGATTTCACAATAGTTCTCTTTCAGTTTGTTCAACATTAGCAAATCCATAGGCCTTGTCAACAGGTCAGTTCGAATAGGTGGCCATGTCTGATGGTGCCTTTGGGTCCAGAGCAGACATCTTGATATATCCTGAAAAAGTTAGAGACAGCTCTTGCTGGTAACTAGTGGTAGGTAAGAAAGAGGGTAGCTTGCAGTTGCAGATGTGGTGCTAATGGAAAAACTTGAAAACTTAAGTTGAAAGTATACTATAGTATGAAAAAGTATGATAATTCAAGGTTAACTTAGAACCCGCACCTCTCCGCCAAATTGCAAGGTTTTTTCTGTATTTGGTAGTGCTGCCCCATCCTACAGTGAAAAACAACAGCAATCACTATGATTCAGTCTAGATTTGACATTTTCATGCTGCAACAACTGCCAATATGTGAGGGAATGTTGACCCCAAGGTTCATGCTCCAAGCAACGTTGCAACACTAAACGCAAACACTAATATACTACACAGCAAAAAAAAAAAAAAAAAAAAACCCGGATGAAAGAAGAGTTGTTCCTCTATTCCAGAACTGAAGTAAAATGGTTATTGCTTTGTGACAAGAAGCCAAAAATTATGTGGCAATACAACACATTTTAGATTATATGAAAATTCTTCTGTAGGTTCTTTTCACATCAAAGCGTTCTATAATATGGCAAAAAACTAAATTTAGCAATCTGTTTTGCTACCTCGATGCAAATAACAGTAGTAGTTTGAGCCCCCATATTGACTACACATGCCGTTGATAATCCGTTCCCAAATACTGCAGCAAGGCCTTCCTGTCAAAGTGAAATAGCATATGTTCATCGCGATAGGAAAAGCAACAGAAGAGTATCTAAAACAAGCTGATCTCATGGACAAACAGACACAGAGATGGAAACACCAAGTTAGTTGAAAGATTGCTAGGCCAGGAGAAGGATGAAAATTATGAAATAGGATTTTTTAGAATTTAAATATGCTTTGACTGTGCTACATAAGTATCAACAGTTATATGTTTTGGATCTTTAAGAGTAAGACAATAATAACAATTAGAGAACCAAGCAAACCTAGAGACCAAGTGCAAAGCAAAACAACTTTCTCCAACTGATGAAATGATGAATTACTGCTAAAAAAGCAACCAACGGGTCATATAATATATGCAACAAAGCATAAGATAAGATTTATAACCTGATGTACCACTGCTGAGCTAAAGTGCAAATCTCGTAGTACTACTGATAACATTTCTTTCATTTCTGCTCAAATGTTAGAATAGAAGTTAAAAGGGATTCCAAAGTTGTTTGGTTCAACAATTGAATCATCTACGGTGTATCAGAAAAAGAGAGGCAAAAAGATTCCTGAAGAGTTTCATTTCAAAATACAATAAAATTAATGGAATCACCTCGAGTATCAAATGTTTCTGACAAAACAAGAACCACTGAATACATGTTTCTATGTGACCGAGGTACATCAAGTTTCTCTGTCAATATCCAGTCCCAGGTAGCGTGCAGGTCCTCGATCACCTAACCAAAACCAATTCACGTAATATTAATGACTAAGAAAGCTTGAATTTTACAACATCATGTTCCAAGAAATCCAGAACATCCAGAAAGAAGTGACATTTACAGAGAGATGAGACTTGAGCAATCAGAAAATTCTTGTGATTAAAGTAGATTATGCGCCCTGCCATAGGAAAATGCTGAACGTATTGAACTTCTTAAGGAAAAGAAGAAGACTGATAAAAGTCCACGCATCAACAAGAAAATCCGGTCATTTAAGTACAGACCTGCTGCAGCGGATACTGCTGAGAAATGTTCAAGTGACCTCGGCGAATGGGGCGGCGTACACAATATGGCTCCGTAGGGGATATTCTTAAAGCTTCCTCCCCAATAATGAACTGCCTTAACCTATTCTCAGTGGAATGCAGCTGCTTTGGGTCCTCATCTCGGTGCTCCTCTGAGGATTCACCAACCCGATCTTCACTAGTCGTCCTTTCTGCACAGAAACAGTTGCCTCATAATTGGTTAAATGACGAATTCAAAGTTACAGGAGGCTGAAATAGGGAAAGAACCAGACAGGGCATACCTTCCTCCCAGCAAAAAAAAAAACAAAATTAGAATCTACATCTTCCTAATCATGTCTTAGATACCTGGTGTAGAAGTGGACTTAGCATCCTGCTCATAAACATTAGCCCATGCAAAACACTCGTCCTTCCCCCTACCATTGTGATGATTATGTCCATCAACACGGCCCATCTGCAGAACAAACCCTATGATCTTATCAACTTGCTAAGCAAGAGAACTCTGTGGTAGTTCCATCGTTTCTGAAGAATGTAACTTAATAAGAAAACCTAAGACACTGAAACTGTCATCCTAGTTAGTACAACAGCAATGATGGAGAAGGCAGTCTATACCTTCCGTGGGATGCCCACTTGGTCATCCAGAAAAGGAATCTTTAGAAATGATGCAATCTAAAGAGAGAAAGAAAACAAGAAGACTAGCAGTCAGTTCAAACCACATTCGAAAAACAATAGTGTATCACAATTCTAAGGATCAAACCAGAAACGAGCCTAACAAAAGCTTGTCTGTATCACTGTATGACTACTTACAACATCATAAGCCTTCTGACGCTCCATTTGCTGAGCAGTCGTCACCTGACAATTCAGCATCTGGGAAGCAGAGCAACAATGAAGAATGGGGATACTGGAAACAGACAAGAAATTTTGAGTGGATTTAAACAACGGTAGAGTAAAAGAGCAAGAACCTGATCTTGGACATTCAACTTGGGCGTTTGATTGGTATAACGAGCAATACAGTGAGGAATGATAGAGGGAGTATCCTGCCGCGCGACTCCGATTCGGACATTTGCGGAACCTGCAACGGACGAAGGAACCAAAACAAAAATTCACCCTCCGCGAGCATTCATCCGTTGCGCAAGCTCAACAAAGAGGAAGAAGAACTAGAAGCTGGGCCACAAAACTGAAAAACCAGTTAGTGTGCAGCTGAGGCAGTTACCTGGGTTGATGACAACTATATTGGAGCCTCGCTCGGCGATCAATTGCGAAGGAACCACAGTTTTCAAGTAATCCTGCACCATTGCCGGCGGGAAAAAGAAAGGAAAGAGAACGCATCAGTTTAAAGGACGTGAAGAAACGTAAAATTAGAGTACTGGAGGTAAACCGGTCACCATTTGAATGAACGAAAGCAGGAGTCTAACTGCTGCTCCGCCTCCTCCGGCGGCTGCCACAGCCCAGACTTTTCCTTCTCAAAATCCGCCCTCGACGAAATCGCTACTCCCAACTTCCACACTTCGCTGTACAGACTACCGAGCATTCGTCGTTGCGATTAGTTCGCTCATTTTGTTCTGAATAGATTAGAAGAAAAAGGCGACACGACGTCGTTTAAACCTCCTCCTCCCTCCCTTTACCTTCCCGTCATCGTCAACTCGAAAATACTCATTTTGGAATGACTCGTTATTGATTATCTGGGTTGCAGAAAGATGCAAGAAGCCAATGAATAAGTCCAATGGCGATTTCAAAAGAATTCTGCATACTCGTTACAAAAAAGATGCACTAACGTTCTTTGAGTCTATTCGAGAGTGATTAGAAGAGCCTACAATGAGGGAAAACCCAGGAACAAATACGAAGAATAAAAAAGATTAACCAAAACAACTACTAGTTTTCGGCACTCTAATCTTCTCAATATAATGTTCAGGAACTTCAGATACGACGTGCTTCTTGACGCGCCTTAACCAACTTTGGCCTTGGGAGCTGCCTTCTTCTTGATCTGTCTCTTCGGGATCAAGTTCTTCATCCCCAGGAAGAACATCAATGCACCGAAAAGAGCAACGCTCTGCCAATGGGATCACAAGAGCAAAGCAAATGTTCAAAGATGGAATTCCATAGGAAGAAACGTAGGGAAATGTAAGATAGTTGAGTTCCATAACAAAACCTGGATGAACTCGTTCAAGAGAATCAAGTACTCCATCTCGCCCCGACGGTAGTTGTAGAAGTCGTAGAGAAGTGGGGCATTAACAGCCAAGTAGACAAGCTGCATTAGAGATGGAATGCAAGGTTAAGATAAGAGTTCATAATAATGCTTACAGATATAAGGACCAAACACTTGCCATCAATACGTTCATTCAAAAACTCACCAGGAGATAAGCACCAAATGGGGTGCCGAAAACAAACAGGAAGCCTCCGAGCCCCTTGAGAACAATGTTAATGGCAACGACGTGCCTAGCCTATCGATCAAGCAAAATGGTAGTCAATAAGAACAAAATCGTCCACCACAGTCCCCATAAGAAAAAAGGAAAGAAAAAGGAAGGGTCTACCCCAGTAAACAGATCTTACATCAATATCTGGCATTTTGACTGCCAATGTAGTTGCAAGATGGTGCTTGACCGTGGAGAGCTTCGACATGTATTCTTGGGCGGCAGGGCCACCATCATCCCCAAATTCGTTGAACCTAATCCAGTTGTAGATAACACACTCAAAGTCATTCTTCGAACCCACGAACGATCCAAACAGGAGAGCATTCAAAACAGTTAAACTGCTTCACATTATCAAGGCAGTTGTAGATAACAGCTGAGTTTGGGAACCCAATAGAAGGATATATCAAGCCATGATCTCTAGATTCACATCTAAATTGACAACGGGACAAATTCGCAAATCAAAACACCAGATCACATCAAAGAAAGAAGGACAAATCATGCCCACTGAAACCAACACGGGTCTCAAAACCATTCATTCCCCGGGATCCAACCCTTGAAAATCAAATCGAATTGCTTGCAAGCCATCGAAATCATGGAACGGATTCATTGTAACACTCGCCTTTCACAAGCAAGATAACCAGATATTGCAACTAGAGAAGCCAAAACAATAACCTAAGCTGGCGAGTGAAAAAAGAGCGCCAGACGAATCAAACGGCAGCTGAGAATCATCAGCTGTTCGAGGAAGTAGGCAACAACATGCGCTCAGGTCATTCCTATTTCTAGAACAGGCGAATCCCATAAAAGAAAATGCAAAACCTAGAACTCCCCTGAATCCCTTTAATGCAACAGTACACCACATATTGAAACAAATTCAACAAGCGGATCCGGAGCGGAATCCAAAAGGGGGAAACGAAGAACGATCGAAACCCCACAGCCGTGATAAAACAACAGATCTGAGAAATGAAGAGAGAAAGAGGGAGAGAGAGTACATTTGCCAGGCGGAGAGGATGAAGAGGGAGGCAAAAAGGACTCTGCCGAGGAACGAAAAAAAACCCATTTGCTCTTTGGCGTCGAGTGACGTTTCGGATGATCTCGCCGGCTGCGCCCGCTTTGTATGTTCTGCTTTCGGATTTCCTTCTCGTCGCCGCCGTCGGATGAGGGAAGCGAAACAGGACACTGCTTTGAGCTGCGGAGCGACAGTGGAGAGAGAAGAGACGAGACGAGACGAGAGAAGTGAAGCTCGTTGGGTCCTGACTGATTGATAATGGCCTGGAGGATGTGGGGTGGGGGGCTAATTGAGCACTCGGACAATCAGACTTCCGATTTGGGATTTTACCGTATCCGATACAAAACACAACAGAACAAAAACAGTGACTGACGTCAATAATATACATGACAACTTGGTTCCTCAATTATGACATGTTTACTATTGGACTCCTACAATTAAATCGTCTTCTAACGATAGTTTACGAGAGTGAAAGTAGGAAGGTTATTTTCGTCTACACAATAAATTTTTTATTTCATATAAAAAGAAATCAATGCTAAGATTTGAACCATGGTCTCTTCCACCAAAGACAAGAATTGTAACCAATTAGACTAGACAAATTTGTTAATACTTTATTAATGCAAAACATAGAGAAAGTTAAAATTATCAAAAACAAAGTACTTTTCTATCACGGTTAGTTAGCCCGCTAAGTCTACTGTAAGTATTTTGTGGTGTTTGATACTTCTATTTTCATATTTTAATAATTAATTTAGAATTTTTTCTAACTTATAAATGAAGGATAATCATAAAATCTCAACACAAATATCATTGGTTTGAATATTGCGCATTGAATTGAAGTGTTCAATGACGACATAAGAACACTAGTACATACATTTCAAGAAATATAAACATGAAAAACACCAATACCAATTATCTCGACAGTCTATGCTAAAATTCGAAATTGTTTAATCATTCAATTTGAATGATAGTTTAGTCAAATCAAACAAATAATTCACGATTGTGTATGAACAAAAATAAAAACATATTATTGTCTTATGAAAAATGTATTTATTTTAACAATCTAAAAAAACAATCAAAACTTCCATACGACCCCTTATTTCAATAATGTAATTAATGAAATAATTTTTATTAACATGATGCAATGTTCAAGCTAAGGTCCAAGTATTAATCACCAGTATAGTATTCATCATAGTTAACTATTTCAATCGTGATTTGTTGGAGATGGGTCTCAGATGGCAGATTGGAAATGGCCAATCGGCGTCCCTTCTTCGTTCCCCCTGGATTCCTCAACTGCAGCTCGATCCCCCGAGGTATAACCCGGTGGTGCTACCAGAAGGGGGGATCCTACTGTAGCGGAGGTAATCTGTCAAGGGGAAGGCCGGTGGTGTGATCGTAAGCTCAACCAATGGTTTGATCCACCTACTTGTCGTATTATAAAATCTATTCCCCTTCCTAGGCAGAATATTGATGATAAACTGATTTGGCATTTTACGCCTGATGGGGTGTTCTCGGTTAAGTCAGCCTACCATCTGGCTGTCTCCCTTGATAGGAGGAGGGGGAGTTGGAGGGCGTCGACGAGTTGGATGGATAGATCCAGTTGGATCCGGTTGTGGGATGCGAATATCCCCCCTAAGCTGAAGGTCTTTGTTTGGCAAATTCTGAATCGTATTCTCCCGACCACGGAGGCTCTAATTGAGCGAAAGATGCCTATCCTCCCTCGTTGTCCGGTCTGTTGGGATGGCCCGGAGACCATGGAACATCTATTTCTGGATTGTCCGGTGGCGCGGGCGCTTTGGGGCCTTTCAGGGCTGGAGTACTTAGGGGAAGGGTTACCTCGTCACACTTTCCCGTTGTTCCTTAAACGTTTGATGGCCTTAATCCAGCAGCCGCCGCTCTTCATGGTAGTCGTGGCTGTCCTTTGGCGTATCTGGCGGTCAAGAAATTGGGTGGTGTTTGAGGGCAAGCAAATTGGGTTCCCCGCATTAATGAGGCAGTTTTCCCAGCAGTATGAGGAATGGGTGGGGCTGCCGGTAGAGGTGCCCTCCATGCCTCCTCCCCCGACGGTTCCACGGTCAGATGGATCAGGGCAGGCTGCTGGGTTTACTTGCCAGTGGGATGGGGCTACCCGGAAGGGATCGCATTCAGCGGGTGGCATGGTTCTTCTGTCCCCCTCCGGGGATGTTCTTATGGCTCATGGGATTCAGATTCCGGGGATTGATGACCCAGTGGTGGTGGAGTTGTTAGTGCTCCGTGAGGCGATTGCGTGGTGCTTGGGTCAGGGTGTCTCGGGGATACGCTTTGAAGGAGATGCTAAGATCATCATTGACAAAATCAATTGCAGGGATGCTAGGGATAGTCGGCTGGGTGCTGTTCTGGAAGAAGTCCTACATTTTTTTGTGATTTGCCCAGGGTTTAGTGTGCGGTTTATAGGTCGGAGTAGAAATAGGGTGGCCCATTTGGTGGCAAGAAAAGTCCTCTCCTTGTACCCGACCATGAGTCGTTTCTTTGATTTTCGGACCTGGCTAGGGTCCAGGGTGTAACTATCTTTGTTTTGGTATCAATATATGATTATCTTTTGTCAAAAAAAAAAAACTATTAATGGTTACTTGCTTTCTCTTAGAGAGTTTAATGTAGCACTCTCATACCTAGCTATGCTCTAAGCATTTGTTTTCTTTTTCACAATATCATTTGCAGTTATTTATTAAATCAACTTTGTTTCTAGCTTTCAATTCCTAATTATTCACTTCTTCATACCAACTTATGGGAATGCTAAATATATTTTTCATGTCTAATCTATTAAACATAAATGTTGCTTATCACTTAAATTCAATGCTATCCATGTTAGGTTTGAAATCACCAACATATTCTCCCAATTTCTCCAAAAAGCATAATATCTTGCTATTGATATCATAGTTTCGTTAGGTAAAGTTCAACAAACTCAATCAATATTCGAACTCTTCGAAATAGCTATCTTTTTTTTTTTTTACAATCAGAGGATCCTTATATTCCATCCGAAAAGAACCCAAATGTTCGTTACAACAATGGTGCAATGATATTAAGAATTAAGATCCATTCCAAAGGTAACGAAGCATCCCTAGCTTGGCGAGCAACCCAATCTGCAAGTCGGTTAAGCCGCCGGGGAACAAACTCAATCCGGATCCAAGGAGCAGACCGAAGAAGGAGAGACATCTGAGCAATGGTAGATCGACAATGCCATGGCCATGCCGAGGAACCCTGATTGAGAGCAAGAGAAAGCACTTGGCAATCCGTACGAATGCAGGTAGGAATTCCATCTTGAACCGCAAACATGATGGCGTTGAGGAGACCAAGGGCTTCAGCCTGAATCGGATGCGAACACAAGAAAGTCTCAGCCTTGCCGTCATACACCTGACCATGAGAATTGACAATAGTAATCCCATAAGCCGCCCATCACAGTACATCACTCAAGAGAACGACGGTGGTGAGGTGTTGGAACGGGAACCCCTAGGCTGACGGTGCAATAGAGTCGATTGGAAAGAAGAGAAAAGAGCAGGAGAAGTCTGCGATTCCTCCCATTCGATGAAGTCACGACCCGACTTAATTGCGGATGAGGCCGGGGAAGGAGCCATGTTGTCGAAGATGAAAGCGTTCCGGGCAAGCCAAATATTCCAAAGGTGGTATGTGATCTTGCAAACATGAGCGTTAGAGTGGGTGTCCTTCAGGTTGAAGAACCAAGAGGCGAAGGAGGCATCTTGAGAGGGAGGAGCAATCAATCCTGAGAGATGCCAAGTCTCCGACGCATGCTGACAGTGAAAGAGACTGTGCAAAATCGTCTCTGGCGCGTCACAGATGGGGCAATTTGGGCTTGTTGCACAAGATCTGGAGAAAAGTCTTTCCCTTGTAGCAATGGCTCTTTTTGAGCATTTCCAGATAAAGAAACGGTTTTTTGGTGGGAGAGCCAATGACCAGAGCCACTTCCAATTGTTGTTGGCAGGTTGATTACGCATGGTTGGTGGTGTAGAGGTTTGTTGATCACGGTTTTCACGAAGAACATGGTAGGCTGATCGGACAGTAAAATTTCCATTAGAAGTATGTTTCCATGCGCAGCTGTCCTTTGACTCCGCATGTCCAATCGGGACACGAGTGATCGCCTCCATGACATCTTCGGTACAAACATTTCGAAGGGCCTCCACATCCCATGCTCTCTCATTCAGCTGAATCCAGTTACTGACTTGCGACGGGGGGAGGTTGAGGCTAGATAACGAGTGGGAGGGGAGGGCAGGGATCCAAGGATCTCGATGAAAGTTGGTATCATTGCCAGACATGATCACTCGAATCATTCCTCCTTTAAGGGCGTCTTTAGCATCACATAAGCCGTTCCACACCCAAGATCCACATCTCCCTTTCTTGGCTGAGAGAAAATCTCCATCCGAAAAATAGAGGCCCCTTAACAATTTCACCCAGAGAGCATCTTGGTTTTCCATAATGCGCCAAACCTGTTTGCCAAGCAAAGCCAGGTTAAAAAGATAAAAGTTCTTAAAGCCCAAACCACCTACCTCTTTAGGCAGTTCGAGGCCTTTCGCGTTGCACCAATGAATTGCTTTCTTCCTCATGGAACCTACCCAAAAAAAATCTCTTAAGAATAGAGTCCATTTTGTTAGTGATAGAACGAGGAAGGAGAAAAACACTCATGATGAACATAGGAATAGCTTGGAGAACAGCTTTAAGTAAGACTTCCTTTCCCCCAGGCGAGAGGAGCAGGCTTTTCCAAGAGTCCCCCTTCTTTTCCATCCTCTCAATAAGGAAAGTGAAAGTCTCTTTTTTTTATCTTCCCCAATCAGAAGGTACTCCAAGGTATTTATCATGACTGATCGAGGAGGAAAACCACATTGAGAAGTGATAGGTCCTTGATGCCTTGTGGAGTATTCTTGCTGAAGAAGATGGATGATTTAGAGACATTAATTTCTTGACCAGTGATACTCCCATAGGCTTTCAGGATATACATGATATGTATAGCTTCTCTCATGCTAGCTTTTCCAAAAATAACCGTGTCATCCGCAAAGAGACAATGAGAAATGGTTGGACAATTTTGGTTGAGCTTAATGCCTTGGATATCACCCTTTTGAACTCCTTTTTCGATGATGAAAGAGAGGGCATTAGACATAATGAAAAAGAGGAAAGGGGAAAGCGGGTCTCCCTGGAGAATTCCTCTTGTCGAGGAGAAGACTCTGTGGGATTACCATTGAGCAAGACAGAGAAGCTAACA